AGGAAATACGCCCTGCATCGCACCCATGCTGACAGGCTCGAAAGGATGGACGTGAACAGTGTAAACAATACCGGACAGCATAGTGATTACAGTTACTCGCGGCGTCTATTTTACACCTTGTAAACTAACACATTTCTCGCAACTGAAAATCATTTTTGCAGGATTTTAATGTTGCCCGCTAGGAGAGAAAGTGTTGACCGTCTCCATTATGCATTTTAGGTCCACCCGCTGGCGTTCAGGCAAGTATGTGTTGTGCCCTTTCCAGAGAATTTCTGCAAAAGAATCGTAAGTGCATAAAGGCTGACTGGTTTAATTCTTTCTGTTTTATTTGCTAATCTCACAAGTACACTTTGAAATGACTTTCGGTTTGGTTTATGGAAGGTTAGGGGTGCTTTATTCGACTAAGTAACTGGCACACTATTGCGGGGCGCTTTATGATAGAACACATGTGTCAAATTTTATAAGGCCTACAGACTCCCATAAACTATTCTCTCGTTCATTATTCTTAATCAGGACTACTGGACGAATGCTCCCATTTACCCAGAAAAGGGTAGGATCTTGAGCATTTTGCTGGTATTCCTTGAACGAAAATCACCGCTATCTCTTTCGCAGGAAATCCCGTAAACAACGTGAAATCCGACGGACTATCTTCGTCAAGAAATGCTGGCTAGTGCTGTTCGTAAAACCGTCTGACAGGCCCTGTTGACAAGACTAGACAATTAAAACATAAGGGAGAAAGAAAAGGACACTTAATGCCTGGTTTCTTGCCTGTGAAATTTAAGCCTCGCGTAGACCTACAACCAGTTGCTGATATGCCTTTGTGCACGAAGTTCACCAGTTCAATAGATTGCATTTCCTTATGTACAGTTAACTAGCCCACACAAGGGATTTCATAAATATAATGTGTTCCGATGTCTCCAAATGCAGATAAACGCACCAACTGGCCCTTTGGACAGGGACTATGATGACAGTCGCCGGATTTACGAGGCTGCGAGAGATGGCATTAGAAAGTGAGTTCTCATTGTTTCTTGGGGTAATATTAGAAACATTCCATTATTCGTATTGCTGTTTTGACCAGTTGGTTGGTATTCAGTTCCATCTTAGTGGTCAGGTAAAGTGTCATTCGGGAAATAGTGCATGATAGAGGCGCTCTATTTTTTGCATTCGGAAAAGAAGGAATTCTAGCACGTTTTGAATACTTATTGTTTTATTAACCGGAGCCTGTTCGAGTGGCTGATACCAGTCTGGTCCTTCTCATTTGCAAGAGGTTGCTACTTACTTGTCCAGTATTTTCCAAAGGAAAAGGAACTACGTCAATTCCCCCTAGGTGATGTCCGGTTACTCCATCAAAATTCGCCCCTTCCACATCCTTCCAGTTTCAAAACTGAAAAGCGTTATTGGGTC